ATTCATTCAACCTGCTGTGTCCGATTTATTCTGTGCGCAACTGGGACTCACTCTGTTTGACACCTTTACTCAACTCTGTCGAACGTTTCGTTCCGACATTTCATGGTCGTTTTGGCTCCTTTATACGAGTCCATTATCAATGCGACTATCTCCTCCAACAACCCTTTCCTGCGTAAGGCATATTTGATTATTGGATGCGGAAGGCTATCAAACGCCTTGGCAATGTCCACCTGAGTGGCAACGATTCCTTTGCCCTTTTTAGCCGCTGCGAGAACTTTATTTAGCAGATTGATGTTATTGTAACATCCCATTTCCGGCACAAAGCCCTTTTGCCGTGCATTCAGGTGAACCATTTTTCTTAGGCGTTGGTCCATAATGCCCTAATACAGCCTACTTACTATTGACGAAATAGTAATCGGCCTATAGTTAGCCGCTACTGAGGGATCTTTTCCCTCTTTGAGCAATAGCGTTGTTCTATTGCAGCGCCATGCGCTTGGTTGTTTCAGTGCCAGCATGATCACATTGGTCCTCTTCATTGAGGGGTTCTTGATTTGAAAGTGTATTCTCTAGGCGCTGCTCTCTCCATCTCTTGAAGCACGCCTCGTTTCTTTTGTCCCTTATCTGTTTTAGGGTTTTATCCGGCATAAACGGAACCATATAGCTTTCGCTATGTTCCTCTCATCCTTGAGCTCAACTTCAAGCGCGAGCATCCTACCGATATCCTCGGCAGAGAAAACTCTGCCCCGTCCTTGTTCGTGTACCTTGGGAGCCGCTTTCTCCGATCTCACTCGGTTTCTTGTTTTCGGGTGCGCCAACCTTTGATGTTGTGACAGTCCTCGCTGTGTAGTGAAATTTCTGTCAATCAAGGCAGTCGAACCTGCCCTGTTCTACAGTTCGCTGCCTCCCATTAGCCCTGGCTGCTGGGCATTTTGGCAAGTGGCACGCGACCGCGCGGTGCGACACATAAGACTTGCCACATTATTTGCATCTGTATACCTGCGCGATGCTCAAGTGAGGGTGCACCTCCTCTATATGCCGGGCCTCATCTCTGACCGTGAGAGCCATATAATCGCCCACTCCACGCGCGGCACAACTCTCGCACCTTCTTTGATCGAAGGGAAGAGATAATTCACAGACCTGTGTTTCTAGCCTTTGTTGTCTTTGTGTAGCCCCTTGGCCGTGTTCCAGGGGAATGGGGCCGTATTTCCCGTCGTCCGAGGTTTTATCATCTCCATTTTGGCCAGCGACTTACTGTTAAGAGAGTCATAGATACGACCGCACCGGGGGGTCTGGGGGGGCGGTTAGCCCCCCCAGAATCCTCCCGTGGTCGGAGTGCAATCAACGTCAGCAGTACTTCCCTTCGCGCTAGAATCGGAGCCGACACCGGGGATTTTCCCCTTACAGAGCCCATACCTGACGATTACGTACTTTCGGACAAGCCGACCCTTCAAACGTAGGGGTACGGTTTCCCGTAACGCACATATGACTCACTATTGTACCTGTGGCGTTCCCCAGGTAGCAGGGTTAAATCCTGCAGCGAGCGTGACCTACTCGGATTAGATCAGCTCCACTGACAGGACCGGGGTGCCAAGGCACCCCACTAACAGGTAATGCGCAACATGAGCTTCATAGCGCTAACCCACACTAGGCCCTCTATGCCGCTCACTCGGCTATGCGAAACCTCTGCCCCTACGAGTCCGACACCATCTGGTAGGGCACCGGTAGCCTCCCGGTGGGGCTCCCTACCCCCGTAGTACTCGTGTCGAGCGATCTTAGCTCACGTTTGACGAGTTGCCGCCGCTGGTGCCATGCCACCAGCTACCACGTAATCGCACGAGTCACCCCGTACTGTTAACGCGTCGCTCATCGGTTGCCCGGGGATCCGGGATTCGGCAGCAGTCGACGCGCCTTAGGAATATACGGCACGTGGTGCGCCATATACCCCGCTCGTATTGGGCACCTCCCACGCACGAGCACGCCGCGCTCGCCTCGCGAAACGCTACCCTGTTCAGTACTACCGGCTGCATCCGTTACCCAGCTACCTGGGATTGGGCAGCAGCCCAGCAGTTTTATGGGTAAAGGGCACAGGGTGCACCGTTTACCCGCGCTTGCTTGAATTTCTTCACGTTGACATTCAGAGCACTGGGCAGAAATCACATTGCGTCAACACCCGCGAGGGCCATCGCAAAGGGTCTGTCACTGGGGGACAATAAGTCACACACAAAAACTATGTTTATTTATTAAAAAAATAACAAAAAGTTACAAAAGTTAAAAATAAATTTTATTTTATACGTTTTCTTATGACACTGTTCGGGATTGGGCAGGACAAATAAGATATCAAAACCCACTATTGAAATATCATTTTTTTGGGAGAAAACTAACTTCTGACATGTTTTCTTCAATCAAAAATAACATATACCATCAACCTATCTATCTATCATCAACTTTGGTGGCGTGTATGATTCATGGTGCCACAGCATTGGGTGTCCCATAGTGTCCCGAATGCACTTAATATAGAAAAAAGTGAAACGTAATAAAAAAAATAAATGATACATGATTATCTGTAGTGTAGTAAAATGACAAAAGATGCTAGAAAGTTGCACCTAATTTTTAGTACGTGTATATTTTACTAAAAAAACAATATTAAAACATTTCTAAATGGTTAAAAAGAAATTTACGCATCACGAAAACCTTATTATGTCACGTGCATCTCGAGACTACGGACTTTGATGACTGCCACTTCGATACGAAGTATGGGCAACGAAATAACTGTCACATGATATTAATTGAATCAACTTAAACATTCTGGATTACCTTAAACAGTCAATGACCTATGGTACCCCGTGGCTCATGGTGCCCCGGTCTCCCTTACATTCCATCAGCAACAAACCCCGACAACAACGACGATTGAATCAGATATTGACGATACCATCGAGATCGAAGCCAGTCCACTATCCGCGGCAGATTGCGAAGGACATTCATTCATATCGCACAAAAACGACTGCACCAAGTAATATATGTGCAACTTCGGCAAGATCTCGGAACAGTCCTGTCCACCTGGACTCTACTAGAACAAAAACCGATGCGACTGGCCGGAGAACACCAAGTGCAATACTACTCAACGTCAAGTACGTATCGCGATGAATAGACTTTGATCATTTTAATACAAACGTAAAGCGCTTTAAAAAAAAACGCGAGATTTATTCTGTCGATTTCTTAGAGCAGCCTATCGCCGAGATTTAGATTCGCAAAGAATATAAAAGAAAAAAAGGTGGTTTGTTACTATACGAATTGAGCTTGGAGGTGGACAAGTTTCGGCAGCTTCACTCCCGAAGACATCGACGGGCAGCTTTGCACACACATCGTATATGCCTTCGCTACGCTAGACGCGGAGACATTTCCCTTAAACATTGATGACTCCGTCGACGTTTATAAAAGTTTTCTCAACAAAGCGACGGAAGTTAGAAAAAGAAACGGTTTTAAGGTGTATTTTGGTCTAGGTGGATGGAATGACTCAAAGGACGACAAGTACAGCAGATTGGCCAGCAGCTCGCGGTCAAATAGAAGAAATTTTGTCGGATATATCATAAGAATCATCGAGCAGAACGGATTCGACGGTCTGGATCTTGATTGGGAGTTTCCGGTATGTTGGCAGGTAAACCAAAATATTTCCTACTCTCTTCTTCTCAGTATAATTATAACAATTCTTTCAACACATGAAATATTAAAGATGCTTCGGAACATTCAAAGGAGACATTTTAGTTTCGATTTAGAGAAAATGCTTAAAAAGAAGGAATTATTTTTCAAATATACATGTAGTTTTTCATTAGTAAAATTTGCTGTTTATCAGTAGATCCCAAATGCTAGGCTAGGAACACTAATTATGGAAATTAATTAAAAACCAAATATCTCGGACAGGGCGATTGTAGCCGCAGTCTTCAGCAGGACAGCGAAAACTTCATAGGACTTCTCGAAGATCTCAGTGAGGCGTTCACATCTCAAGTACTCCTGTTATCCATCGCGGTCTCGGCGAGCAAGATTGTCGTCAACCGGGGCTACACCCGCATCTCGCTATTAGTGCGGCACGTGGATTGGATCGCCGTTTCGTATGATATGTACTATATTTTCATGACTTTCAGATAATAATGGAACAGACACTTCGTTACGCTTTGTTTAGAGGGATGAATGGGATGCGGAGCCGCCTTTGGAACCTTTAACAAAAATGTGGCTGCCAGTATCATATGTAATTACACTGGTTTACAGCCAAAATGTACATTCAATGCCATTATTATTTTCCTGTGTATTTTGGCCCGTTAAACTCGAAAATCACATAGAAAAATTTTTTATGGATTGGTTTTTGAGATATGAATTTTTGGATTTTTTTTTTTAATTGCTCATTACTCCGGTATTTATATCCATAGATTTTCTTCATCAATAGCTTGTTTTTGTCGTAAAAGTACGACCTATACGTAAACAATAAGAAACTGGACATAATTTGACGTTTTCTATTTTTGCATGGCAATAAAGTAAATTTTCTATTTTTATTGTAAAATATTGTAAAAATCACCGACAAGTTGCGAAAACTGAGTCCTGGAGATGCCTTATATAACGAAATTAAAAAGTGGCCCCATTGGTCACCCAAGCCCTGACCCGATAACTTAAAAGTTTAACTTATGAGTGAAATACTATGTCTGAAAATATTCACATCCCTTTTTCCTTTAAATCTGTAATTGCCGCACTGCAAATCCAAGTGTGTTAGTTCTATACGCATAAACGTCTAAGAATTACACATTTGCCTGCAGTTTTTTTTACACACATTTGGGCATTTTAAGTTACGTCATTTAACACCTTTAACCGTATTAAATTAAAAGTTAATACGTTCAATCGTGTCAAATAATTAATGTGATTTAAAACGGCAAGAAATGTGTCAGAAGAGTTTTAGCTAAATAACACATTTGCATTTACAGTGCATCTATATATCTATGTCAGTGAGATATAATTCCAACAAGTTCAGATAACAGTTAACTGAATATATCGCAGGTCTATTATTTTCGTTTCAAATATAAAATCTTCTTACACTCGAATACAGTGAAATATATGACAAAAGAATTAGTCTCTGCTTTCGTAGCATCAATAAATTTAATTAGATCAAGTTAATTAGTGAATAAAGGAAATAAATGTCATATATAAATATATAATGAATGTAGAAGATATAAAAGGCATTGTACTGGTCGAACTTAATAATAAAATTGATTTGCTGTTAAGTAAATATTAAAATTGAAAATCACTATAGAAATATATAACATGCATAATACAGGATATATATGTATAAAAGAAATTTGAAGTGATCCATTTTAAATCAACCACACACATTCACTAATGTGTCGAAATACCAGATTACTCATTATCAGTTCAGTGGTTTGTGTAAAGAAATAAAGGTGCCAATGTGACAATTACTTTCTATATTATTACTGTATATACTTTATTTTATAATATGCCGAATTTATCAGTCATGTTTTAATACATAATCTTGGAGAACATGTTGTTTATATAAAAAAATGTAACATTTAATTTGTACATTTAACGAGCCTATTACTTGTTAAATAAAGAAACATATACGTCCGTTAAACAAAAACATATTCAATTCCTGTATATCTTTTTTTTACTCGTCAAACATCATTTTGTACATCTCACATTGGCGCGTGTTTACATGCAATAGAGAATTTTAAAAATTAAAAATGTAAGAGGAATTCCTCTTGCATTTTTAATTTAAATAAGAGAGAGAAATAAGAAAACTAATAATATTGTGATAAAAAAATGGGAGGTTCAAAAAAAAGATGCTGTAGAAGAAATGGTGGAAGAAATGTTACAAAAAGAAGTCCACATAGAAATTAAAGCAAGTTCTGAACAAGAAGAGGAACAAATATGATTACAGAGAAACTGAAAGGTAAGGAACAGAAAAAAACAGTTATGGTTAAAAAAAAGATTTTAAAGGAGAAAAATATTGACAGTGACTTAACTTGGAAGGTAAGACAGATACAAAGGAAAATATATAATAATTGAAAGAAAGTTTGCATGGAAAAAAGAAGGGGTTTAAAAGAACTAAATTTTTGAAGCAGGCAGAGTTCTGCTGGCCCATAAATAAGCAAAAAAAAGTTAATGCGGCTGTTCCTACGGGCTATATGTCGGCGATGCCTCTATAATACTCTATATTATTATTAGGTAGATATAATATTTTTTTTTATTCAATAATACTATTATTTAATAAAATAGGCGGCAGTGTGGTCTAGTGGTAGAGCGCCAGACTCGTAATCTGAGAAACCAGGTTCGAGTCCACTAGAGCCATGTAACATGGAAAGTTTTTTCCGAAAAACTGCGCCCTCCGTGTAAGATAGGCTCTTGTGCGGAGCAAACTGGGCTCCGTCTTTCGGAAAGAGACGTTAAGCTGTTGGTCCAAAGGGTTAAGTGAGAGGAAAAAGGGTGATATAAAAATAAAATTTCGTTTATTGACTCCCCTCAGGGTTGCAAGGCGTTTTGTAGGGACATTCTCAACCCTTTACCCACCTCTCACTTAACCCTTTGGACCAACGGCTTAACGTCTCTTTCCGAAAGACGGAGCCCAGTTTGCTCCGCACAAGAGCCTATCTTGCACGGAGGGACGCAGCTTTCAAAAAAACATTCCATGTTTACATGGCTCTAGTGGACTCGAACCTGGTTCCTCAGATTACGAGTCTGGCGCTCTACCACTAGACCACACTGCCGCCCGAGAAAGGGTAGTATTGGATGAGAATGGAAAAAGGGTTGGGAACGTCCCTACAAAACGCACGCCTTGCAACCCTGAGGGGAGTCAATAAACGTATTTATCTTTTTATTATTTAATAAAATACTATATAAAATATTATATAAAATATTATATAAAATGCTATTTAAAATACTATGTAAAATATAGTATATCAAAGTAAAAAATGTATTGACATGCCGGCATGTTAAATTTAATTAAATTTATATGATCTCATTGCATCAAAAAATAATATGGTATATTGGAGTGATGAGGCTCTGTTGGATGTCCACACGTGGAAAGAACGGGCTAATTAAGAGAATATGGTATATTATTATGGTTCATTATAGTAGATTTTTTCAAAATATGGAAAATTGTTTTAAATCATTGCTTTTCTAAATTTAATTTTTAAATATATATATTTATACATATAACTAAATATATAAGTCTGTGTCTACAACGAAACTCTTAGCTCCAAATTTTTTTTATAATACACTGCCTCTTAATTTGAGACAAATAATCGTGACACAATTAGTGCAAAACACTAATCTTTCATTTTTAATTGCAAAAAATTATATAATAAGAGTAATATATAGATGTTTCGTGTATGCTATTGGTGTTAGAAATCTCCGGCTATAGAAATGAAGATACAAGTCTATTCGATTCCACTAAAAGACTAAAGACCTCCGCACAATGAAAAATATAAGGAACAAAAAACAGATATTAGCGATTAGGGCTAAAGAATCAAGAATAAAGTTAAATACACGATGAAAAATACAGGCAACAAAAACAGGGAATAACACAGGTAATAGTTATTTGTGCAACAAGTGCTGTAAGATGAAAATTCCCGAGTGCGGAGTTTACGCATGAGCCGAAGGCGAGTTACACACAGATTTTTATCTTTACGCACGACTTGCACATCCTATTTTATGTTGCAAGTGCGTGGAAAGTGGTCTATCACGCACGCGTAGCGTGCGCAATGGGCCATTTTCCATGCACGTGTTACATAATAGATTTTTAACCTATCGGAAGCCGTGCATTAATGCTACATCAGCTTTATTCCTATAATTTCTTATTTCTAATCGCTAATATCTGTTCCTTGTCCCTTATATTTTTCATTATGGGGACTTAAAAATTGTTTAATAAGCGACGTTATCGCACATACATGCATGCCACAGCTACGTCACTGATAACTGTGATTGAAGGAAAGAGGCAAAGAGTGGGGTCACAGATTTCCGTTCACGTTCAACAAGATAACGCTACAGCAATCTGTTTGCCGGTTTGAATGGAGATAATGCCGTCAATCGCGTGCTTTGATTGCATCGGTAATTCGATTGTCAGTGGTTGTTTGACAAGAGGCTTGCGACAAAATCTGTTTTTTTCAATAAAAACGAGCGTTGCGCACTTCCGAAATATACATATGTA